GATCATGTGATATATTATTCTGGAGATAAAAAGGTGAGGAAAAATGCAGTTGCTTTCACATAGTTAAAAAAGAAATTTCTAGAGCCATCCTGAAGTACAACATTGTGAGTGATAGGATTATATCCATATGCTTACAAGTTTAAAGAGAGGTGTATCTAATTCACGCGATGGTCTTTTTAATAGATTGCTATGCTTCTGAGAACTGGACAATGAATATGAATGAGAAAAGAACTGTTATCTGAGATGTGATGTTGGATAAGAATAACGAATATTTTATGGATTACCAAAAGAACCACCAGATAGGTCTTGGACATATACAGCCAGAATGCTCCTTAAAGACAATAATGGAGACATTTCTTGGAAATGTCTAATCCTTGGAAAGGGACATCATATTTGGAAAGGTGGAGGGTCAATGAAAGAAAGAAAGATCCTCAATGAGATTTTTAGACACAGTAGCTGCTGAACGGGCTCATTTACAGAAATGATAAAGATGGCACATGACGGACAGAGCTCAGATCTGTTGTTTATAGGGTTGCTATGAGTCATACTTAATGGCACCTAACAACAACAATATCATATCAACAGAGCAACTTAGAAAAAACATTGTTTCCTTTTTTAAAACAACAATAATAATAATAATATATATGAAATACAAATTAAAATGCTCTTTACAAACCAAATAATTACTTTATCATATTATTTGTTCTGTGTATTTTATTAAATAGTAAAGCTTCTATTTTTACATGAGAGAAATGTCTGTAAAATATAATTTCACAGTATCGATTTTGGGTTCCTGATTACATAGTGTAAATCATATATTACAAAATTGCCTTCCTTTTAGATTCTGTTCTCTTAAAGAGCCAGAGCTCCTTTATCATTCATTTCATTGTTCAGCAAATAGATTTTTTTTTTAATTTGCTGATAATTGTAGCTAAAATGATGGGTGGCTAACTTGTGTGTAGCACAAGAAAATAACTATTTCTTTTTGCTATTTCTTGCCCACAGGAGAAAATACGCTTTTGAATGTCTACAAAAGGAACAGACATTAAAGGACATCACTTATATACATTATAAACATGCCTAACATAATTCAAATGTTGCTACATATTTACAAAATAAAATGCATTGTCAATTCATATTGCTGTTGGTTACTCTGCAAAATTTATTTCATTCCTATGTACAAGGGAAAAAACTGGAATTGGCAAGTACTGTGTTACTTATATTTTTAAAACAATAAAAATAGAAAGTATTATTCTCAATTAACAACCCCTCTAATTAAAAATTACACTTGTGTCTTGAATTATGAAGTAATTTCTATGACAGATTTAGGTAATTTAGGCAAGGGAATTTCTCAGCTTTCAAATTATAATTTGATTTTTTTTCCTAACTCTTTCTTCAATCATGTTTTCCCTTAATCATGCTATTCAAAATACAAAACAGAATATATTGCCTTCAATAATGACACTACATGAATGAGTAGAACTTCCCTAAACGGTTTCCTAGGCTGTAACCGACTGTTTTCCATCTCTGAGCTTGAACCACTGACCTTTCTGTTCCCAGACTGAGTGCTCATTATGAAACTTACAACAATAATCTTCACATTTCCTTCTGTTCTTTTCTCTTCAATAAATTCTTATTACCTTTGAAATCACATTGAATCAATTTTTAGGGTAATTAGAAGTAAAAAGAATCAATTAAAAAATAAATACTATAAATACTAAGTGAGGAGCTCCTACTTAATCCGTAGCTTATTGTTCTGCTA